CTCGAGATATCAAGGGGGGTCGTAAACAGCCCCCCCTGTCACTAATAGGGGTAGCCAGGAGCCTGCCACTAATAGGGTTAACTAGCTTAATGATTGGAAGCATCATTGGAGGAAGCGCTCATGTTAAATGCAGTCTGGATCAAAACATGTTCCAAATAAGACCGTCGGCAAGCGTCCCTTGTTAACAGCGCCACCATTACTATTTGTCCCTTCATCTGTGGCTCATCAGCGGCGCCGAGGAGCGATCAGGCGGCGTTCGGAGCTCACTGCCGATGGCTCGGGACGGGGTGCGGGGGCGCCCACCATCGACCCCTGGCAGACGACTCGTTGGCTGACGAATGCTAACGGGTCGCGACACGGCGCCTCACGCCGATTACCACCATCCTCCGAATCCTGAATCCACCACCAAACGCCCCCATCCATCTTCAGCCGCCTCCACACAACTTCCCAGCCTTTTACTGCCTCATGACTCTCACCTTCAGGCTTCAACCACCTTCCGCCTGCTTGTGCATCAAACAAGTTACGAAAGCCCCGGCATCAAACAATAGGTACGGTGCGGAACTTAAGCACCGGCTCCAGTCTCCTTGTCGTCTACCAAATCTCTCTCTCTCTCTCTCTCTCTCTCTCTCTCTCTCTCTCTCTCTCTCTCTCTCTCTCTCTCTCTCTCTCTCTCTCTCCCTCTCTCTCCCTCTCTCTCTCTCTCCCTCTCTCCCTCTCTTGCCCTTTCCCCAGCCTCCCGACAATGCCAGTGACTATTCCGCCGAACCGTCACTGTACCGCTGCAAAATACATGGCCGCCGACAGGTCATCACGGAGCTGGCGTGATGTCGTGATTTATTACCGCTCTAAATCACGGTAATCACGCTGGCAACCGTCCGTGAACGTTGTGACCGGCGCGTGCGGCCGAGTCAGCCCGCACGAGGGTGCGCTGTGCCGCACGGAGGCACGACACAGCTCCGTCCACCGGCCCAGACCAAACACTGACGAACGATTGGCGCTCAGACGCGGGCCACTAATGGAAATTTACCGCGGCCAATTTGCCCATGGAGATTTATTGGTAGCAAAGCAGGTATGGCGTCGGTGTGATTTCTGGGCCGCGCCCGAGACAATGAGAACTCCAGGAACACGCCAATACCAGAAAAACATTAAGGCAGGATACCACTAAATTACGACAATCCATTTCTTAAAAACCGGACAAAATGATATAAGCTCTTGCTGCCGCATATACTCTTACCTAAAACTGAGCAATGCTTCTTCATTAGTAGGTACACGTCTATGGTGACATTCATTCTGTCCATCGTTTTTAAACACTCGCAAAAAGATTTTATGTAGGAGAATGTTTAGAAACGGAAAATGCCTCCAAGGAAAGGGATAAAATGGATTAAAATATACATAGATATATTTTGCATGGCAAAATGCGTACAATACAGCAAATATACATTGTAGTATCAGCAATGCCCGCCGGCACGTCTTATTGATTCACTCCAATTATATTTGCATTATCACATCCACAATGATCTTGTTATGCGTTCGCAGAATTAATAAATGCATCCCCGGTATCATGGTTACTGCACGGCTAGCTCGAGTCAGACTATATTTTTCAAGTAATATCGACATCACAAGTAATATATCACTTTTGCAGCGTTGCCCATATAACTAAGGCGCCAAAATTCTGTAACAGTTAACTTGAGGATAAACCAAACACGCCAATATGAATCCGTCGCTAGGTCGCCCGGTGCACATCTTACACATCTTATAGGAATATTGAGCTGACCAGTGAGCAAAGTAACTTTCATGCAGGTATCAATGTTCTCTAATGTTACTTTGTACTCACAGGCTCTAATCGTATGTCGGGATATATGATACAATTGATCTGGCAAACAACTACGTAAGGCGCCCATTGCGAACTATTGTCCATATACTTCAAGCGAAGGTATATGAAGTAACGGGCCAGCTAAAATATTTTTTTACTTTTTTCGTCAGTCATCCTTTCAGAAGCAATATTAGTATTAGTGCAGACTTGGTTAAATTAGGTTCATTAGATAACCAGTCGTGAATATAGTCCATCTATCAAAAAATTTAAATGTTATGATATGGTGCACACACATTCTAAGTAGGGGAAGGTGGGGTAAGACGGACCAGCTAAGGTTTGAGGCCGCATATCTTGCTACACTGCTCTCGTAATTCATATTATTTATAGTCTTCGGAATGCTCAATCCTTCCTCTGTTGATATGTGTAAAGACTAAATTTCAAATTAAAGACATCTAGGTGGTGGATGCTCTTAAAGAGGGACATGTCAAAAACTCAGACAAGAAAAAACGTGGGGTACGACGGACCACCCAGCAGTGCCTACTATCCGTTCATGTGTGTTACACTTCTGCTCTGTACCTACTCTTGTAAGAAAAAGTAACCAGAATGGTAAAATAACAAAATGAGCCTTTATTCTTTACTCATGTGTGATGGAGTGCAGCTAAAAGCTGGGAACATGTGTGTTGATTGTCGTTTGGCATGAATGCATGCTAACTGAGCACTTTCATGCAAGGCTCACATGCAACAAAGACTCCTTCCTGAAAAATTAGCTTACTTAAACTTGTGTCAATGTTTTGGAAAAAAAAAACTTTCCATATGCAGGGTACAATGGACCACCACAGGGTAAGATGGATCACAGTGGTCCGTCTTGCCCCAAATCTAAATTCTGTCATTATCATGACGTATATGTCAAATAGCCCAGCATTGCAAAACCTTGCCTTTCCTAAAGTGTGATTATAACTATGTTTATAACTTTGTTCTTTACAGTAAAGTGCAAAATAGAAACTAATCATGCAAGAAAGGCGCCGTAATTGAATCACCCGTAGACCTCTTATATTAGATCGGTTTGACGAAAAACAACATTTTTCTCAATAACTCAAAAGCTATGCGTCCTAGCAGCATGAGCTCAAGGTGGCCATTGTTACGAAGGAAAACTAACATAGTGAGTGCATAAAGCAGTAGATACCAGCAGCGGTTCAGCCTGGAGGGCTGGTGGTCCGTCTTGCCCCGCTGGGCCGTCTTACCCCACCTTCCCCTACCATGTCCTCGAGAAGGTAAATAGGTATTATATCTAGCTATAGCTGGATTTCTGCTCCACCTCAACGGTTATTTTATATAAGGACTGAACTAAAAGCATGAGACAAGGCTTTTGCTTGTTTATAGGCCTTCTTTGTGAGTTCAAAAAAGATGACCTGCAGAAAGCAGGGGATCAAGTAATTCATGTGATAGAGATAGCACCGGTGGTATTCGGGCACTTATTTCTCCTCCAACGCCCAAAATTTGTTTTAAAATTTTTCGTTCTTTTCTACACAGAAATAAAAATTGTATATCATCCTAAATATCATCTAGGAAAAGATCGTTTCAAAATACACAGAAGGAGAACAAGGAAGCGAAATCTGATATTCTTTTGGAAATTTGACGATCCTTCAGAGGAAATTTGTGCCCCGCATTATCTAAAACCGCTTTTCAGGATTTGCAAGTGAGTGCTACTTATGCCTAGCGTCATGTGTGCCGATGATTGAAAGGCATGACGTAATTCACTGATAAAAAGTCATTGAGTGTCTCCAAAATAGACTGTCAAAGCTGATCTAATCGGGCGCTTACAGACCGCTCAGCTGCAGGTTTACCGGTCACGAGACCACAGGGTCAGGTCACTCACCTCTGGCGTCCCTCCGCTCGGTGCCAGTGGCCGCGCTAACCACCGCCAGGCCCCCGAGCCACAGCAGAGTGCCGGCGGTCCACATATCCGGTCCACGGGGGCCGCAGCACTCAGCGCATCACGACGGCACGCTCCACCCGACACCTCCCTCCGACGGCGAACTGGGGACGCGCCGACCCGACGGCCGGCCGGCCGGGCGCGCGCACAGCCCCGCCCCTCCCGCCGCCCTCCCCCCCCAGCACTGCCCTCGGGCACCAGCCGAGACCGTAGAAAACGGACGACCCTGGATCTTGAGATGGGCAAGAAAGTAAGAAGACGGCAAGCCGGGCCTTGTGTATGGTCGGTTCGGTGGTAGTAATATGATATTGCACAAACTACTGTCGTGAAAAGGTAAGTGACGATGCCGTTGCTTCAGCCTGTCAAGGCCTCCATGGACCATAACATCGGTAAAACTAATGCATTTTGATTTGATTTTGTGAGATACTTGTTTCTATTTGCCATGTATATTTGCGTGACCGGTCACATCCACCTAATCGTATACTCAAACCTTATCTCAATATTTGTCCAAAGTCTTTGAGCTCTCTTTAAATATTTGCATGTTATGTAACAAAACGTAGGAACGTACTTTTTAACGACAATTGTGAGGCATTGTTTCAGCTTGTCATACTAACTTATATGGAGGATTTGAATGCGAATCCATTAGCATATGTCTAATGTCTACTTATATCGCCGTTTTCTTGAAGGAAGACGCAGAGCCTTGGCAGAGCCTTGACACGCCGACATTATTGGTAATTTCTTAATTGATTTATTTTTGCGTGGTGATTTTTTTTTGTATTTAGTTCAGTCTCAACTAAACAGAGACACTGTCCAATAGCTACGGTTTGTTATTCTACGGCATGTACAGGAGCTCTGTTTTTTGTGTGACAAGTATAGACTCCTTTGTGATTCAGAAACTCTGCCGCACCAGGGCCGGAACATTAGCCAATTGCACCGCGGTCCGGGACTAATCCAGTATTCCCTTGGTCATGTTCTATGTAGTTGCATAGTTGTTTGCAGTCTGGCAAATTACCACATGATTGATGTGAAGGAAAGCCCAACATATAACGAAGAAAATCGTGATACAGGCTTATCGCAATCAACTTAGTGCTACGTGATCCTACTTCTAAATTCCTTTGGATGGAGGAGCGTGTCATAGCTTGATGAGTCCTTGAACACGATCCCTGGGTAGACTGGTGCACTTTGAGTACGTCTTGAGAATGACGGAAACATGGCTTGAGTGATTCATGCCTTTCGCATGCATTTATCAAACTTGAAACTCGCATGCCTTAGTATCAACAACCTGTAGCACGTTATACTTAGCTAGTAGGTGCTTGTCACATCTTCTGGAGAGATGGCACATAAGTAAGTCAATTGCAGTCAATCAGCTCATATCCTTCTTTATATTCGTGATGTCATTTACACGCAAAGTTTGTATTCATTGCTGTCATACATGTATTTAGATAACAATTTGTTAAAGTTATTGCAGGCTTTTTATTTACAACATGTTATATCTGTGGGCCTGACCTGAGCAATACACAAAGTTCCCTGCCTTATGCGCAAACCATGTGCGCAAATTATTTGCTCAGCGGGTGACCATTGCAGGCGAGCATTAACTATTGTGAAACCTGAGTAGACCAAGCCACCCTCTGAACCAAGTGACGCCCCTATCGCTCCCCCTCCCCGCTCCATCCTTTTGGAGTCGACACCGCGCGGAGGACGATCCGATCTCCTGTCGACCTGTGCCGGTGTCAGCGCCGGGGCGGTCCCGCTGCGCGCTCAGCCGAACACGCCGCCGCCGAAGCCGGCCGTGGACGAGACGGCGGCCGTCTCCACCTCCTCGGAGACGACCGTCTGGGAGGAGGAGCTCGTCTCGGCGATGGCACCGCCGCCGCCGCCGCCGCCGCCGACAGCCACCCCACCGCCGCCCATGACCTTGCCGCCGCCCACCACTCCCTTGCCGAGGTGCGGCGTGGTGACCACGATCACCGGGCTGGCGCCGTACCCGCCGAAGCCGTGGCCGTGGCCGCCGTACCCTCCGTAACCCACCAGTCCGTAACCTCCGTATCCGTGCCCGTAACCTCCGTATCCGTGCCCGTAACCTCCGTAACCGTGTCCGTAACCCTCGTAGCCTTTTCCGTGACCGCCGTAGCCTTTTCCGTAGCCACCATAGCCTCCGTATCCGTATCCGCCGTGTCCGTAATCTCCGTATCCGTGTCCGTATCCGTGCCCGTATCCGTGTCCGTATCCGTGGTACGGGTAGTGGTGGAAGTGGTGGAACTCCTTCTCCTTGTTCTTTCCGCGTCGTCGTCCCCAGCCTCCCCAGCGGCGACTGTCGTCGGCCAGAGCGGCCACAGTGAGCGCCATCAGGCACAGGGCCAACACCTGAGGGCAGGGGATGGGTCAGTGTCACAGGGGGCCCATCAAGCACAGGGCAGCATCACAGGAAAGTTACGATTTTAACAAGAGTGTAACGGGTGTCAGGGCCCACTTGTGCACAGTGACAACCAAAGTGATGGAAACCTGGTAGCCGAGGTGCTGCAGGATATTACGAGCGTCAAGAACACCGTCCGAGGACATACTGGCATTATGCGTCTCTTCACAGTGTCATTGGGCATCCGTTGTGAACTATAGCAGACGGGAAACCAGTGTCGTGCTCCGTCGAGCACAGTACGGTATACTCACTGCCCGTGCAGCACTACAGGCGTGTCTCGCGGGCCACACCGATCACGGCAGACCCGGGACCTGCAGGGTGGGGCCGGTCAGGGCGGGGCCGGCCCCTGAACCTGCCACCGGCCACCGGTCACTGGCCGCCACTCTCTGGGTCAGTGAGGGTAGCAGGGCGACCCGGGCAGACAAAAAGCGGTGCTGGCTGGTGAAGGTCAGGCCAGTTTTTCTACCCTGAGTAGTTCTGCGCTGATGCAATGAACTAGAATGTTGTGGGTGGCGGTGCTAATGGTAACGAGAACTGTTACAGCATCGTACGCAGCCAGTGTCCATGGTGTGCTTTGTGTGCTTTGTGAGAAGAGAAAAGCAGCGTAGACACGGACAATAATGCATAAGCACATCAGTTATTTCTGCCATACATCATTTGCCATGTCAGCATAGACACAAAAATGCCTTAGGTCAAATATGAATGTACAGGAGGATCTTATTCAGGAGGTATTTAGGAGTATTCTAAATAGTTAGTTTTTATAGATATGCCATTTCTCACTCATACGACTAAAGACAAAAGATACAAAACGGACATTAGTGGGTATGCTTCATTCTAGGTCATATATAGAAAGCGTTAAAGTTCGGCGAAGATTTTCTAGCCTGCGCCCTGTAGAGCTTTCCCGGACTCCTATTGATTATTTTTCCCCAAGCCATGTATTGCATTATAAGGTCACCGATTTCTATTTAGATCACAGAGGCATGGTATATTGAAATGTCATGCTTTCAAAACTTTTGGATCGTGTGACACATAGTATGTTTATTGAGGCGAACATCGCATTGCAAATTAATCCAAAATCATTATTTTGATATAAGCATCAGATTGAACCAGGGTCATATCAATATCGGATTAAGATCAGGTCAAGGTCAGGGAAAAACTAGGTCAAGGTCAGATAATTAAAACAAAATATATTTATTTGCTTTTTTATTCTATTGATTGATTGATTTGTTTATATTTTTTGCTGCACAATGATCCCTATTTGGTGCAGCTTTCGCCGGCAATCTAATAGAAATCTTAGGTTTGTAATACATGCATCATAAAGAACAGTCTAAAGAAAATCTAAGAAACAAATTATTATCATGGCCGAAATGAAAAAAGAACAATACATTTGCAGTGCTTTTATCAAGTGAGATTCTTAGGCACACCTCTTCGAATGAGCCCGAATATTCATCCAAGTATAAAAAATAATGATGGAAGGAAAGACGTTGTCTTTGCCGTATCGAAGTCCCCACCTGCGATTCTACACATCCTAAATTAAAGTCAACTCGGCATCCCCCCACCGGCGCCAGAGTGGAGTGTTGTTAAATTCAGCTGTCAGGAGAAGTGGTCCTATGAGCCACTTTTATCCTCGAACCATCTGAATTGACTTTTAATTTCAAACCAGTGTTTGATAGTCCATGATTATCGTGGAACGAAGCTGGGCTTTGGTCGCCGACGGGCGACGACATAGGTACATGTGTAGAACGAAGTAAAAAAAATATTTGAACTACTATCCATCCAGTTGGAACCCTGGCGATCACTCAACAATTTGGATCAGGCACAATTATGATCAAGATATCATTCATTTTTTATTTTTAGAATGATTTTTTTTTAAAGGATTTCTTGCAGAGTCTCAACTGCAAATATTCCTATTTCATCCAAATAATTGTGTAAGGAGGTTTAGCACATAGCAGTGCTCTTTTTGTTGTTCTTTAGGCGTTTTTTTACAGCCAGCATGTTTTTAATTGATATTATATGCTGCATCTATTCGGACTTAGGGTATGAAATTAATGCAGCTCAAGTATTAGGTAGTTAACCTTCTTACTTTCTCTTGCTTGTCTGTTTTTTATTATTCTTGTTTTCTTGCTGCTATATTTGAATCTATTTCCATTTACTGCTTGACAAATTCGCATGTATTTTTTTTCAAACACTCATTTTCTTCTTATTTTAATTTGTCACCGTGTGCGCAAATAATTAGCTCATGTAGGTAGTAGCCGTTTTCACGGCGAGCATCTCGTGCACATTTGCTTAACCCGCGCCCCGCTGGGGGGGGGGGGGGCAGAATCTGCCCCCTCCCGTTTTTCGCCAATAACTGCTAAACGCGTTACGCCAGCGACGTCAAACTTACGGTACCTTATCATACATCAATTTGACACGTTCCCTGAAAATTTGAGCGAAATCCGTCGGAAATTTTTTGAGAAATTGACGTTTTAGTGACGTCATGTTCGCCATTTTCGCCTCAAAAACGGCAAAATTTCAAACGCCGCTAACATCTTTAGTTTCAGAGGAATCAAGACGTAACAAAATAGGTTATACGTGATTCTACTTTGTCTATCAAATGGCTATTTCGTTTTTTTGAAAATTTTGGATTTTGGCCCAAATTTTTTTCAAAAAACTGACTTTTTTGGGAAAATAATTATAAAATCCAAAATTTTGAGTGTATCGAAAAAACCGGAATATATGTCAGAGAAATGGTGTATGTGCACCTACATACCAATTTTTAGAAGAATCGGTTCAAAAATGTGGGAGTTATTCAAAATTTTATGACGTCACGACACACAAAATTTTTGAAAAAATAACTTTTTTGGAAGTTCTAGACCTCGTACGGAAACAACAATAATCCCATTCGATTCGCCGTGTAAAACTGCATCAGATAGATACCTTTTTAGGCCTTAACAACCAACTTCAAAATTTGACCTCACTTCAAGCGCCTCGGTAGAGCGCATGTTCTCGATGGGAAAAGATGTGCGCTACGTGCAAAAAGGGTTACCTCTCAAAAAGTGGCAGCGGAACATCTTCAATTAAGGGGGGGGGGGCACTGCCGACTTTTGGTCCCATTCTTTCCATGGGGCTTACCTATAGGGCATACCTATAGGGCTTATGTTAAAATGCCAAAATCAAAGGGTGCACGGTGCGCCGGTGCCCCCCCCCCCCCCGTTCCGCCGCCTATGCTCTCAGATGCCAACCTGGAACGTCTAGTGTTCGTGAAGGGCAACCGGCATCTGGCCGGGGACAAGTGATGCGCATCAGTACCTAGACGGCATCAGTACCTAGACCTACCACCAGACGCTCCAAGGTTTAGTGTCCAACCAGTGCCCGCTGTCTTGATAGATTTGGTGGGCATTCCCCTTTCTCGGTAGGTTTAGTTTGTGTCAGAATTGTCTCAAAAATGTGTGAAATACACAACATTTTAACGTTTTTTATTTTGTTGTAACGGAGTAACGGACTAAAGAACTTCCGTTACATTATATGCAGAGGAACGGAGGAGCGAGTAACGGAAGTCACGTTTTGAAGGAACGGAGGAACGAGTAACGAAGCTACAATTTTGGGGAACGATGCCCACCTATGCTAGATAGATAGTGGTTTCTGAACCTCGCCGCAAACTTGGCTATCTCAAATCAAACCCCATGTTAACCCGCGCACCGACGGGGGTCTGCGCCAACTTCGTACCCCCCCCCCCTGAGATCTCGAGAACGAAGCAAGATAGCGACAAGCGGTAAACGGCATCGGATACGCACGGTCAAGATCTACACTTTTTACTAAGGTCATTTTCAGGTCAGGTCAAAGATGACGTCACAGGAGTCGAAAAAGTCAAAATGGCGGCGCTGGATATGGAGAGAGTTTTTCTCGAATAACTTTCGAATTAGTCAAGATAGGAACAAACTAAGGGCAGCATCGTGATCCTCTCGTCAATCCGCATCGAATGATATATATATATATATATATATATATATATATATATATATATATATATATATATATATATATATATGTTGACCTCGAAAGATCAAGGTCAAAGGTTGACCTCAGGTCACGTGACCTCGAGGTCATCATATATATCATTCGATGCGTCTTGACGAGCTGAACACAATGAGACCATCCACGCGTCTGTATCTTGTTCCTGTACGGAGTTATTGGCCAAAAACCTTTGGTGACCTTTGATGACGTCACATGACCTCACAGCTGCCCAACAGCAAAACAGACCTCAAGGTAGTGAAGGTTGATCGTATATGAAGTCATGTATGGTATATGGGGCCATTCCGACCCGTTTTAGTGGTAAAAACAGGGAGTTGATTTTTCCCCCATTGACTTATAATGGGGAGGTCGCGAAATTGACCTGACCTTAGGTCACCGATATCAAAATTCCGAGATAAACAAATTGTAGCTACTAATGACCTAATAACATCCTGCGACTTTCAAAGGCCTCCGACATCTACTGTAGCTCTGGCACGGTGACAAAGTTGCAAAAAAGTGACTTGAGGTTGGGTCATTTAAAGTGACCTGGTGACCTGACCTTGAAAGGTAGGAGGTTCAAACTTGCACACCATGTGTAAAATTGATGAGGGAATAGTCATACCAAACTTCGCGGCGCTACGCGCCGCGGTTTTCCCGCTATTCGCGAAAAACCTCAGGGGGGGCGGATATCCGCCCCCCCCTCGGTGCGCGGGTTAAAGGTGGGATAGTCCCTTTAACATTTGGTGCATATTTAGAGCACATTTGTTCAAATTAGGCTCTTATGCTTTTTAGTAGTGATCAGCTGGGGCGCACTAGTCCCTTGTATAGGTACCTGATTTTTTTTTCTTAAATTATCAGACGTTATTTTCGATGAAAACACCGAAATACTTAAATTGATAGTGTGAATATACTTGCTGTACAAGAGGTGTAGTTTTGGTTAAGTTTGGTGCATTCGCCAGATAACCCGTCGTGAACACGGCTAAAATGCGTCTCTCTATACGACATTGTCGCCGTAATGATGGTCAGAAAGCCATCATAGACTTGACCTAGCGCTAATTATCATTACATTTCCCGCTAATGACCGTTCAGATGACATGTCCTCCAAGAGCGGACGCCCGTCTCGCCGTGGCCGCCTCCGCGGTCGCTCCAGAGTGCAGCGGTCTCGGACACCTACCAGTCGTCTGCCGGGACTCATGTTGCTGGATGTCGGTGCCGCGCCGGTGTCGAGTCGGGCAGCTCACTCTGTCCGGCCAGTGCAGCCCACTGGTCGGGGCGCCTACTCGTGGGCACCTTATAAAGCTACGCCCAAACCACCCTGCCCTGCCGGCTTGCCTAACGTTCAGTCACAGAGGAAACGGCGGCTTCCGAGCAGCGCTGGTACGCAACAACACGCTCAGTAACAATCTGCTGCGCTGGAGCAGGAAAGGACAGCCCAGGGAGAGTACCGAGATACAGCACGGGGCCAGGTCAGGCCCGACAGAGGCCATCTCCGGCTACGGATTTTGCACCCTCAGTTCCTATCATCCTTCCCCTATAGCCGCTCAGACCATCATCGAACAAAAACCGAGTGTTTCCAGGGACGAAGAGGAGCAGACTATACTCAATTTTCAAATTTTAGGTCACTGATTGACCTCCCAGGTCACGTCAATGACCCAAAGCTCGGGAAAATCTAAACCTGCAAGTTATCTCGTGATATTCTTCACATTTTTTTGCGAGGTCCTGATATATAATTTTGCATTTGTTTTGATCGAAGATGATGTACCTATGTATCTATTCATGGTCTACATTTACAGTAAGTCGGTGCAACTCAGGCTAGGTCAATCAGAAGGCGTCCTGCCGGCTATCCACAGCACAAAGGTGTTACTGAAGCCCTTCTGGACAGCTTCACAGCATGTTGCATCAGCACAGACACCAAAGCTAGTTCTCAAATGTTCACATGGGCACGCGTTGAATTCAAAATCAGCTCCAAAAACTACCAGGAAAAATGTTACCAAAAATTCAATCGAGTTCATCTAAGGTAAATCCTACACCCGACCTTCACGTGGATTTGGCAGCCACTATAATGCATGGGACAAACAGCATATGTTGGTCCGTTCTTATCGTAAAAAAGTATGGAAACGCACGGATAATGTGGGCTGACAATTGACATCCACCGAATCGCTGCCCTGGCCTACTATGGTCCCGAGAAAAAGGTCACAGGTCAAAAGATATTTGGGTCGGTACTTGGTAGGCATACAATTTAGGTAGTTTTTTATATAAAATTAATTAACCTGAAAATTCTACGGTCTTGTTTTGCATTTTACGCGAGTTATTTGCAAAAAAAAAAAAAAAAACAGAAGCGGGTGTACACTGTCCGTCCAGCCACTCCCCCTGTGGGTGCTACGAGTATAAGTGTGAACGTTTAAATTATTCGTTCATAAGACCTCGACTCAATCAATTTGAAATGCTTCCGGGCAAAACTACCCACCGATCGGGAAGATAGTTGATGCTCCTGGCAATAGGCCGTCAGCGATCCGGTGTTATGGTAGCGCGTTTCGCCACGGCACCAGCACCGTTTCATCAGAGCGTGCGGGCGGCGCCGGGCCGCTAATGCGTGCGACCGGGACTGGTAGTGTGACCGCGGGGTCGGCAAAAACCAGCCGCTCCGTCCGCGTCCGTTCTTGTGGCGTTGATTAATAGTTGTCCGGTTTCGTTATCTGCCGGCCCTGCTGCCCTCCAGACAGACCATTGACACATGGCGCGACAATCAAGGTCACCAGTCAGCTGGTAATGAGTGACATCGGTGCCGACCTGGTAAACAGAGACAGGTAATGGCTACCCATGCATTGTTGTATAATATGTGTATCAAAAAACTGCTTTGGCCACCTCCATCCATACGGGTGATTTTGGAGAAACGGCAGATGGAGAGCTGATCGTTCAACATATACCCGTATCATCGTATGCTGTCATAGCCCACCATAGCCCACCTGTTTTACCCCATTGGTGGCCGTAAGCGGGGATTAATGGGACCATGGAGACTGAGAGATCCGATTTTAGCATGAATCCTATGGCGATGCGTGAAAAAGAAAATCAGCTCGCAACTGTAACAGGGTGTTGGTCGGACTGTATGTTCTCCGAAGGTTGTCCTCTCCTCTCCCGTCGGACAGGGTTCAGTCGGACTGCCTCCGTCCGAGGACCGCCCTCCCTGTGGTCCC